TGAGGCCCGTCCCCACAAGTTCCCAGAAGCCTTCCTCTTCACCACAAGAAGCGCCCCCGCCGACAGACCAGCACCGCACGGGCCTGCCATTAGGGCGAGGGTCCCGCTTTGTGTGTAGGGATCGCCTTGCATTCCCTTTGCGGAAAAGATTAGTCCGCGCGGGCCCCAGAGGGTGAGTCATTGTATTGCAATGTGGAGATTGGAAGCTATATTGCTCAAGCTATGAGGTGTAAGCTATGCGGTGTAAGTTTCGTAGTGCTAGCTATGCTGTGCCAGCTATAAACGGTAATTATCGTGTAGACGGTGTGGTTTGAGCTAATCCAACGGTCTTAACACAGTTACCCGAGACGTACCCAACCCTTTTCTTCTCCACACGAGGCGAACACTTGCATGAACGCTCCATGCACAAGAACACGCCAGATACGCACGATCATCGCTGACATCATCTCCGCCGTGCTTCCCAGGAGCCCACGAAAGTGGCGACACTTTCGCAGTTCGTAGCCTCCCAGGGAGCCGCGGGGTCTCGGCTGGATCCGAGTGACCCCCGACTCCGCCGTGCCTCCCAGGAGGCCACGACAGTGGCGACAGTTGCGCAGCTCGCAGCCACCCAGGGAGCAGCGAGGTCTCCAATACTCCCCCACTCCGCCGTGCCTCCCAGGAGCCCACGACAGTGGCGACAGTCACGCAGTTCGCAGCCACCCAGGGAGCTGCGAGGTCTCGGGTACTCCCCCACTCCGCCGAGCCTCCCAGGAGCCCACGACTGACGACAGTCGCGCAGCTCGCAGCCACCCAGGGAGCTGCGAGGTCTCGGGTACTCCTCTACTCCGCCGTGCCTCCTAGGAGCCCACGAAAGTGGCGACAGTTGCGCAGTTCGCAGCCACCCAGGGAGCAACGCAGGCAGGGTGGGGAGGAGGAGGAGGTGGGGGGTTAGAGAGGAGAGGAGGTGGGGTCAACAGTGGTCTATCCAAAACGAGAACCCAACACATATTCGAAATACCCAAATACTAAGCTCGACCCCCCCCCTGCAACCCTTCACTGTAAGGCTGCAGGTTCGCCACACTTCGCCTTGCATGGCGTTAGAAAGATAAAGAGAGAGAGGGAAAGAAAGAGAGAGAGAGAGAGGAAGAAAGGGGCATAGAGAGAGAGAGAGAGAGAGCGAGAGCCAGAGAAAGAGAGAGGGGGAGAGAGGCAGACTGACCGGCAGACAGTCATACAGAGAGACTGGCACGCAGGCATGCAGAGAGAGAGAGAGAGAGACAAAAAACAAACAAAACATGAGAGAGAGAGAGAAACAACACAAGAAGAGCGTGACAGATAAAGGGAGGGGAGGAGGGGGAGGAGGCAAGCTAGGTGCGCTCGCGTCATATCTGACGTCCTGCCCCTCCCTCCCATCCCTTACCATGGCGCTGATTTTCTCTATCCGCGGACGCGTGTCGTAGCGGACCTGTGGCTCCGCGCGCGCGTGCGTAGTGGGTGGTGGTGCACGTGCGTGCGTGCGTGCGTGCGTGTGTGCGTGGTTGTCGTGGTGGTGGTGGTGGTGGTGGTGGTAGTGTGTGGTGGTGGTGGTGGTGTGTGGTGGTGGTGGTGGTGATGGTGGTGGTGGTGCTGGTGGTGGTGGTGCTGGTGGTGGTGGTGTGGTACTGGTGCTGGTGCTGGTGGTGGTGGTGGTGGTGGTGGTGGTGGTGGTGGTGGTGGTGGTGGTGGTGGTGGTGGCGGTGCGGCGCGGTGGTGGCGGGCGGATGGGCGCGCGAGAAAAGGCCCGCGCTGGGGCGAGAACGCCATCCTGAACGACGGAGGCCAAACACCGATCCGAAAATGAGGCCCACGCTGCAGCGGGAGCACGATTCGGAACGATTCGGGAGCAGAAATGAGGCCGGCGCCTCAACGAGAGCAGCATTTTGGGAAAAAATGACGCCGGCGCCTCAGCGAGAGTCGTTTCCCGGGATTTCCCGGGAATCCTGTGTGTAAAAAAACAGTACGCGGAGGGTGCGCGGCCATCACCCGGACGCCATCAGGGGAAGGGAGAGTATTTTCATATTGAGTAATTGTGAATAAAGATGAGAGAGGCATACATAGCAAGACAGGAGAAGGAGCAAGACAGGAGGCAAACAGTTTTTTTTTTTGCGCGAGCCCGCGAGTTTGCGTTCCGCGCTTGGCTCGCTTGAGAGAGGCCGCCACGGCGGCCTACTCCTCCCTCACACCTTCACCTATGCATCCACCCGCCGTTCTCCAACTTCCAGTCGTGGTTCTCCCACTTCCAGTTCTTGCTTGCCTTCTTGCACGCCTATTTCACCTCTTTCTTCAGTTGCCTGACCTCGTGGTTCTGCGGTAGCTGTTCCAGATTGTCTTCCGTTCGCTGTATCCTGTCCAGCAGCTTCTCGTACTTCAGGTGGTTTTGCTGCTGCCGTGGAGGAGGAGGAGGAGGAGGAGGAGGAGGAGGAGGAGGAGGAGGAGGAGGAGGAGGGGGGGGATGGCTCCACCTGTTACTGGTGCTGCTGCTGCTGCTGCTGCTGCTGCTGCTGCATCCGGGGCAGCGGCCTCGGATGTGCCGCCACTGCGGCCCCCCGGCGTGCCCGCTCGGCTGCAGGCCTGGCGCGCCGCCGCTCCGGCAGGCGGCGCTCTCGGGCCCGCGCAGAGCTCGGGATCTGCTTGTGCTCCTCCTCCTCCTCCTCCTCCTCCTCCTCGTGCTCCTCCTCCTCGTCCTCCACCTCCTCCCCCCCCCACCCAGAGAGTGTCTTGGCATCGCTCGGACGTGTGCATTTTTTCGCGGCGGGAACCATCGAGGACCATCCTGGACCATCGAGCAGCAAAAAAAAACACGCACGACACCGAAAGATGCACGGAGAACTGACGTCCGAGCGATGGCAAGAAGGGGGTGTGTGGGGGGGGGCTTCGTGCTGCCAGGGAGGCTGCCGCCAGGCGCCGAAGGGCTCGTCGGCCGCGGTGGTCGGCAGGTCAGCTGCCAGATCGGGGTGCCCAGCAGCTGCTCGGGCACGGCCCTCTTGCCCCCCCTGCTCCGGGGCCGGACCGGAACGCTGCGTTGCTGGACTCCCGCCGTGTCTTGTTTTTCGTCGTGGCAGGGAGATGCAGGAAAACAGGTACAGTCGGCCTTGATTGGTAGGTCGAACCTGCCAAGTCAAGGGTACCCTTCTGTCCCGTGTCTCGCGACCCATGCCTCCTACATTCCGATGGCAGTGTGGCACCCGGAAGGCTCTTGTGTCCTCTCGCGTGTCCTGTCCAATCAAGTCCGATTGTAGACAGCCCACTGCTCCTCCCTCCTGATGGGCTTGTTTTCCACCACCACCACCACCACCATAAGTTGGAGGTGGATGGGGTCCTCCTCCTCCTCCTCCTCCTCCTCCTCCTCCTCCTCCTCCTCCTCCCTCCTCCTCCTCCTCCTCCTCCTCCTCGTGCTCCTCCTCCTCGTCCTCCACCTCCTCCCCCCTTCAACTTATGGTGGTGGTGGTGGTGGTGGAAAACAGGCCCATCACCCTCCCCTCCCCTCCTCCTCCCTCGGGAGCAGCCCCCCCCCGCCGCCTCGGCGCCGCTCCGGCGGGAGAGGGGGCTCGCTCGCCTCGGAGGCGGCGGCGGCTCGCTGCCGCGCCCTCCCCCCCCTCTTCCCCCTCCCTCCCTCCCCTCCCCCTCCCCTCCTCCCTTTCCCCTCCTCCCCCTCCCCGCGCTCCTCCCTTCCCCCTCCCTCCCTCCCTCCCCTCCTCCCCTGCTGTCCTTGTGTCCTTCGTGCCCGCGCAGAAATGTTCAGTCTGACGAATGTTCTGCTAGCTCCAGCGCCGCTCAGTCTCGACAGGCCGTATGCTTCAGCGAGGCGCCAATCCCAAAAATCCTCCCCTGCAGCGCAGCCCCCTCCGCCTCCGCGCGGCTCCCATCGCCCCAGGAGGCCGCCATCGGCAGACTCTGCAACCATGTCCAGGTCTTCGACCTGCAGTCGTGCGCCAGGGGGGGGGGCGGCCTCGCGGGCTTTCCCTCGTCCCTCGTGGTCCCCGTCTGCGTGCAGCCCTCCCGCCGCCGCCCTCCCCCCCCTGCGTCTCGCCCCGCGGCGTTGCCGTGAGCGCCCTGCGCTTCTCCGCGCGCCCCCCCGCTATCCTGTCGTCTCCAAGGCGCCTGCCACCCCGCTCCCCCTCGACAGGAGGAGGAGGAGGAGGAGGAGGAGGAGGAGGCGGAGGAGGAGGAGGAGGAGGCGGAGGAGGAGCAGGAGCAGGAGGAGGAGCAGGAGCAGGAGCAGGAGCAGGAGCAGGAGCAGGAGCAGGAGGAGGGACCGGGATGAGGGACCGGGAGGAGGGACCGGGAGGAGAATGAGGAGGACGGGTGGTGAGGGCGAGGTGGAGGAGATAGACTTCTTTATCGTTTCACATGATCCGGCGGGTTTGGTTAAGTCGTGTACCCGCATGTCCGACTCGACCAATAAGGCCCACTACCCAGTCAGGCTCACGCTAAGCTCAGATACATATTTTCAGCAGAAAACGTATATCAAGATGCCCATGCTTTTTCCGACGGGGAAGCCGATAGGACCAGTCCCGCCGCCGCATGATTGGTCGAGCATCGCCTTAGCGTACGAGACCATTGAGTCGGTGCCGACAGCCGACGGTTTCACTCAGTTCTACGGCTTCCTGTGCGACAACATGGAGGCTGAACTTTGCGACACGTTGCGGATTACAGCATCGGATCGACCTAAGTATTGTTGGAGGAGTACTGGGTATCAGGCGGTGGAAAAACCGGTTCTGGAGCATGTCCGCGAGCCACCTCCGAGATTCTCGAAGCGCAGTCGGGCCAGCAGGAGGTACCAGGCTTGGCTGGAGGAGCCTGGGGCGTCGAGCACGCCGCCGCGCTCCCGAGGGCGTCGGCGGTCGGAGCCAGGCACCCGCCCAGCCGGCGACGGACAGAGCAGGGCGGCGACGAGCCCGTCGACGTCGGCGGCAGCCCCCATTTGCTTCCAGCGCCCTCCTGCTCCAGGGTTCTGCCTCCCTCCTTCTTCTTCCGGCCGACGGGTGCTCCGTGCTCTCGTCTTGGGAGCCCCCAAACCGGGTGGTGAGATACCGGGTGGCGACCTGGAATCCCCAGAAAGGTCACCGCTGGGTTTGGGGACGCGGGGTCACCACCGGGTGTTGTGGCTCCTGGGCCCGCCAGTGCTCGGGACACCCTCGGAAGACCGCACGAGCCCCCAAACCGGGTGGTGGCACCAAGTCGCCCGAGACTCACCGCCAGGTGCTGTCACCACCACGTCTGGGGACTACCCATCGCCCACTCCTCGCCCACCCTCGGCGGAGCCCGCCGACGTCGGCGGGGGGCAGCGGGGCGAGGCCGATCCCCTCCCGCGCGCCGGGACTGCCGCGCGGCCGAGGCCCGGCGGGCCAGGGGCGGGGCGCGCCGGCGGCCAAGGGCAGGCGAGGGCGCCGCCCGTCGGCCCGCGGGGCCGAGAGCGGCCCGAGGGGCCTTCCTTTCCTCCTCCTGCTCCTGCTCCTCCTCCTCCCCCCCTCCCCCTCCTCCTCCCCCTCCCCCTCCTCCTCCTCCTCCTCCCCCTCCTCCTCCTCCTCCTCCTCCTCTCCTCCTCCTCTCCTCCTCCTCCTCCTCCTCCTCCTCCTCCTCCTCTCCTCCTCCTCCTCCCCCTCCTCCTCCTCCTCCTCCTCCCCCCTCCTCCTCCCCCTCCTCCTCCCCCTCCATTGGGGGGGGTCTCTGGACCCCCAAGGGCTTTCAGGACTGGCTCTGGAGGCTCAGCTGGCCGAGTCCGGTTCCAGCTGAAGGCCCAGGTCGGTCTGATATTCGTAGGTCTCTGCAGTGATCCAGTGATGACGGCACGGACCGCATCTACGAGGCCGTGAGGGCCATGCGGGGCTTGGAGGACCAGGGGGAGGCGGAGTACAGGACGGAACACACAACGGAATGGAAGTCAAGTCAAGTTCGGTCGAGGAGCCCTAAGGAGGCCCCTCGCTCCGCAAGCGGAGACCGGGGCATGAGACACTACGGCAATGAAACGCGCATGCAAGATACTTGGCTGATGCAAATCGGTGCAACGTGAATGGCACAACGGAGTGGAGGAGCTGGCTTTCTCAATCTCTGGAGACTGGAGGTGGAGCGGTCTGTAACGTGGCCCTCTGGAGAGCCGTCGAGGCTCCCAGCTCATGATCCGAATCGTCTGTGAGGCGACTGTCCGCCACCTCCGACGGCAGACCAGATCAGGCAAGCGCTTCGACGTTTCAAGAAGGGTACGGCTGCGGGCATCGATGGCTGGAGCCTTGGAGTGTTGGGGCTTCTCGGCGACGAGGCCTTGGCGGCCTATGGGTTACTCTCGGGTTTCACCGAAATCCATACCTGAACAATGCAATTCACATGTTATTGCTCTCTTCAGAAACCTGACGGAGGGCATCTGCCTATAGGGATCTTGGCTTCTTGCATTCGCATGTTTAGGCCATCTCCGACGAGACCAGGCCAACCAGTGGGAGTGCGACCATGCCCTCCCTCAGCTACGCGTGCGGCACCAAGGGCAAGAGTTGCGAGCGCGCAGTGCGGCAGCAGTCAGCGGGAGCGGAGCCTGCCAACACGATCGGAACCAGTGCGGGTTCGGGGCTCATGGATCTAGAAAAGTGCCACGATCAAATCCCTCTGTGGCGGGCTTGTCAAGGGCGCAGGCTCAATCCCCGACGGGCCAAGCTGTGGTTTATGATGTACGAGGGGCCCAGGGGGCTCAAAGTGATGGAAGTCGCCTCGCCAGTGATCGATCTTGCACGTTCGATTATAGCAGACCGTTCGACGACGCTGTTGAGAGCGGTCATGTATGACGCGCTGGTACACAGCAGGGATAGGTGGTGTAGTCTTGCGTGGTATGTCATGGTCAACGACATCCTTCTCGAGGCGAGGCGATCGATTCGGCTAAGTTCGTTCGAGAGAACCTGGCAGCAGGCTTCCCTCACACGCAGGTGCCCGTAAGAAGTGTCAGGTCCTGGCGCCCAGCAAGGAGCTGGCAGCTCAGCTGGGAAGCGATCGTCGAGCTCGTGGTTTCAAGGCTTGCACGAGCGTCAAGAACCTAGGCCGCGACTTCGGTGTGCAGCGTCGCACGGGCAAGCGTTTCCGGCGACCGAGAATCCGTAAGCTTCGAGCACGATCACATCGTTTTTGAGCTTTGAAGCATCATCGCACAGGATTAGCGCGTGTTTATCGAGCAGGAGGGGTAGCTTCAGCCACGTACGGAGTGTGGGTCATGGGAGTGCCAGATAGCGACCTCCAGGGTTTGCGCGCGTCGTCCACCTTCGCGCACTTCGGCGAGGCCGGCGGCAGATCGAGAGCGCTCCAGTCTTCGCCTGCGGACCCGCCAGACTTGGGCCCAGCTTTTTGGACGCCCGAAATGGGTACGGAAAGAATGGGTACAGTGCCCAACAACAAGTGTTGTCCCAGACCAACAGCCGCCGCTGTTGGGCAGGCGGCCGTCTGTCTTGAATGGACACAGGCCGCGGCGGCGTGGACAGCGAGTCCTGTCCAAAATGAACAGGGACTGCTGTTGGGCATTGTGCCCATTCTTTCCGTACCCATTTCGTTCGTGCCGAAGCTTCCCAGGCGAACGCGCTGCCGCTGGCCATTTGGCTCACAGCGCTCCACCAGGAATGGGCTCCAACGGAGCTTCTGCCCGGGCTGCCCGGGCGCGCCCCGACGCAGGCTACCTATATTAGGCATGGGCGACGGCGGGAGGCCCCGCGGGCTCCGCGGCCCGGACTCCTCGGCGCCCCTGCAAGGCGAGCAAAATCCGATCGCGTGCGGGTTGACCCCTCGGGGCCTCCAAGCGCGCCTCCTCGGGGGCGGAAAAGAGGGGGGGGATGACCAGGGGGGGGTGGATATCATGGCGGGGGCCATGATGTTTCCCCAGGTTTCATGGCGCGTTTCATGGCGCCTCTTCTTATTTCATTATGTCCCTGGCCCCCCCGCTGGGCCGCGCACGTGCCGCTGGCCATGATTTGCACCCCCCCTCTTGGACACCCCCCTCTTGGCCGCTCCCGACCTCCATCTGACCAGCGCCCCGATTCTGAGTGGTGTGATTCACGTGGATCGGGGGGTAGCGGGGGCAGGCAGCGGCCGAACACGTGGGCTGGCCTGGCCTTTCTTCCCCGGATGTCACCAGAGCTGGAATCCGACGGCGTCGGGGCAGAGAGCTTTCGGCCCAGGCTGCCTTCGCGGCTCTGCGCGCGACTGGGGGCCTCTGGGCGCGGGCCAAGCTTCTGCAGGACGGGTTCACTGTCACTCAGAACTGCAGGTGGTGCTGGGCCAGACCGGGCGCCATCGCCCATCGCAGCTACCAGTGCGATGGGCTGGCCCGCTGGAGGCGGGGCCAAGGATTCGGCGAGCTTCTGGCCCTCCGTGATGAGTTGCCAGGTGCCCAGTTGCGCGATTCCAGCTGCGCGGACACCCGTCGCGATGACTTTCCTCCTCGCCCCCAGGTCAGTGGGAGCCAGGTGGGGTGGCGCCCCCGGAGGGGTCATCTTGAGCAGTTCATACGCGTTGATGGGTCGGGGCTCAATCCAGAGGTAGAGTGGATGACGAGAGCGGGATGGACGGTGCGTTCCTTCAGACCTGGACGTGAAGACCTTGCCGCAGTTGCTTGCGGCCCAGTTCCAGGCCTCGTTCAGCCCTCGGGGCTTGCTGAGAGCTGCGCGTTCCTGATGGCATGAGATTTGATGGGTGATCGTGCGACCATCGCCACCGACCACAGCACCTTGCTCTTAGCCTTCGATAAGGGGCCTGAGGTGATGAGCAACCCCGCCCAGCCGCATTGGGAGATCTGGTGGCAGATTTTTCTGGAGCATTGGAGATATTGGCCGTACGTAGTGACATCGAGGTGGCGTGGATGCATCCCATCCGTCACCGAAAGCACGAGTTCCCCGGTTAATGGTATCCTGGAAATTCGGCGGCGGACAAACGCGCGGAGCTAGCTATGTGCTATGGGGCATCCCTATGTGGCCCACGTCGAACATCGATTCGCAGTCGTTTGGCGTGTAGGTAGGCAATGTGTTAGGCTTTTCGGAGGCGTCTTGGGAATATTTAGCGAGTCTAGATTCCCCGATGTAGATAGCATGCAAGAGCCGAGCAAGTATATGCCTGTAGTCGTGGGCCCGTGTTTTGGCCAGGGTGCACGAGTTCCAGAGGATGTGGGGATGTCTTCGCGCGCGGCGCGTGGCTGCCGTGCGCGGCGACAAGTCGAGGACTTGGCCGCGCGATGCAGTCGCGGGCCAACCAACGGGACTGTGCGTGCACTCAATTTGTCGCGCAGCGGGGTGGACCCGACCAGCAAGAGGGAGGTCGGAGTCCCACTCCCCGCCCACTGGTTTTCGGGTGCCACGCGCGCGCGCCTTGCGATGCGGGGCCCGCGCGCCGAGACTCCAGAGGTTCCAGAGGAGGAGGAGGCCGAGGAGGAGGAGGAGGAGGAGGAGGAGGAGGACCAGTGTAAATCCAAGAGCCATCAGCAATGTTGGAATAGACGCACCCTCCAAGGTCCCTCTTCATAGGCCCCTGCAGAGGTTCATCTGGGGGAACTGGTCCGTTGGGAGACAGCCGTTTGAAGACCCTGAAGCGTGCCAAACACCATTTTCGGGACTCTAACGCCACGAATCAACATGAACGTTGCGTCTTGGCGATCCGGAATCGCGCCAGAACATAATTCCTGGGATTTCAACACCGCGAATCAACGTAGGTGTTGCGCCCTCGCAATCTGAGTTTTTCCAAACACCATTCCTGACACGTTATGGGGATCCATGAAGCTCATGCAATTGTTTAAGACGAGTGCGAGCGGCGCTAAGGCAAGAGCTACTTTTTGAAAAAGAGCCGCCCTCAATCCGTCAAGTTCTTGCAAAACGTACAGATGCGCGCGGCGCTGAGGCGAGAGCCACATGTTCAAAACCACCCGCCTCAATCTGTCCAAGTCTTGCAAATTCGTACAACGGATGTGCGCGGCGCTAAGGGGAAAGCTACAGTTTGAAAACCACCCACCCTCAATCCGCGAAGCTCTTGCAATATTTTAAGACGAATGCGCGCGGCGCAAAAGCGAGAGCCACATTTTGAAAACGGCCCGCCCTGAATCCGTGAATCTCTTCCAAATGTTGAAACCGAATGTGTGCGGCGCTAAAGCGAGAACCACGTTCTGAAGAGGACCCGCCTCCCATCTGTGAAATGGTTGCCAACGTTTAAGCTTCAGGGTCATCAATGGTGCGAATTTCAGTGCGTGGCCGCAGAAAACGTCGGTGCATAGAGAGTCCGGTCCCTTACCTGACCGGGCGTTGGCGCGACAGTGGAGGTCGGAGCCTTGTGCGTCAGAGGCTCTCGTCGCTCGCGGGCTCGAGCCCAGAGCCAGCCGAGCAGAGACGAACGCAGACCGCCCGCCAGCGGGGTGGGCTGGGCGTCTTGGGGGGGGCCCTGAGTCGAGCCTGCCGGCTGGCCCACCTCCGCTTGCCCTGGCCGTTTGGGGCTGCCCCGCTTTGACATGTCTTGGAGGGCTCCTCCTTGGAGCCTGAAATCGCAGGCCTACAGTAGAGGTTGACACCTACACCAATATCGGCGGTGTTCCTCCACCGAGGGAAGAGGACCCCGACCTCGGTGGTGGTGGTACTATTCTGACTTCCAAGGTGACCGAAACATTGCCACCGACACCGAAATCGAGGATCATCCTCCCCCTGTGGAGGCAACCCCCTGTGTTGGTGTTGGTGCCAATTTCCGGGCCTCCCATTTAAGGCCCCGACTTGCACTTTCACTTTCCGCGGGGTGGGCCGGCTGGGCTCCACGGAGCCCCGGGGGCGCGCAGCTGCTGCCTCGCGCAAGTAGTCCCTGCTCGGCGCCCCGTCGCCATCCCTTCCAGCTGGGCCCCCGCGGAGCGGCGCGTTTCTGCTCGTCTCTGCCCGGGTCAGTGGGCCCCAGAAAGGGCCGCCGCGTTTTATGTATCCTTTCGCCGATCGGCGCGGGCCCATCGTCAGGCCAGCCACAACTGGGGGAGCTGTGGTCCTTACCCCCCTGGGGGACCCATCGATTTTGACATCCCTCTCGAAAGATCTTCGATGCGATGGATTCCCCCAGGGGGGTAAGGACCACAGCTACCCCGTTTTACTTATTCTGTCGCCGATCGGCGCGGGCCCATAGAGACGGGGCGCTGAAGAAGGAACCCTTTTCTTTGGGGAGGGGCTCGGTGCTCCTTAAGTGTTCCACACCTTGCCCAAGGTTGTCCTTGAATTTTCGATGGGAAGTCGAAGGTGCACTTATGAAAAAAGGGGCCTCGTTCCTTATTTAGGGTTCCTTAGGTCAACGCCTCGACTGTAGCAGACCAGATCTTGGATGCTTCTGGCGACTGTTCTTGACGGCTTGTCAGGGCCCCTCTCCCCCAGTCTGCTTGCGTGATTGGCAGAAGCAGATCGACGAAGCACGGGCTCATGCCCAGACCCCCATCCCTCCCCCACCCTTTGGCCAAGTGTCGAAGCCCAGAATCTAAAAAGCCTACAAGACAGGACAGCCAGATCAGGACTGTTGAAATTCAGGCTGGAAAAAAGAAGGCAGGATTATGTTTTCACCCACTGCTGCAGCTTTCTTGGGTGCGCCAATGTCATGGTTTACGGAAGGTGCACGTGGTGTGGATGCGGCGGCGACCCCGCCGCGGGGGTTCAAGGTTGAGCGCCCCCAGAGACCCAGAATCGGTCGATGTGGAACTACCTGGCGATCGAAACGCCGCCGATCGTTGAAGGCCGAACGACCTGCGCGGTGTCAGAAACCAACGCTTGGGGTCGTCACGACACGAGCCCCCCCCCGTACAGTCAAGACGCTGAAATAAGGAACAGCTTGGGTCCGGAAGGGGCTGGACGCTCTTCAGATCCTTCCGTGGCTGTTCTTCCAGCCCTCCTCGTGAGCGAAGGCGGTCTTGGGTCCTGAGAGTCACCACCTACCAAACCACCCCAACCCAACCCGAAGGCCCAAATTTGCCCTCTATTTCCAGTGGGGGGGGGGGTCGGGGAACGTTGAGAAAACACATAGGAAGCCCGTACCCCCCCCCCAACCCGAAAGTCGGGTCTTCGGGTTGGGTTGGGGTGGTCTGGTAGGTCGTCAGAGAGGGGTTTCGTTCCGTCCTTGGCGCTCCTTACTTCAGCGGCCCGACTGCACCCGAGCCCCCGTCCACGGGGGCCCTGGCTGGAGCCGTGGCGCGCCAGCGGCGGCTGCGCGCGCGGGGCGAGGAGCCGAGAGGCCGAGGGGAGCCCGCGCCGCAGAGGGCCGGCGCGGGCCCCTCGGGCCTCCCACTGGGATCGAGGAGCTCCCCTGCCGGAAGGCCGGGCCTCCGTCCGGGGAGGCGAGGAGGGAGGCGTGCGGTGCGGGGGGCGAGCCGCCCGCGGCAGCGAGGTCGGGCCTCCGTCCGGAGGGCCTCTGGTCTTCCTCGGGCTCCTCCTCGGAGGGGCCTCGCAGGGCCTGCCAGCGCGGAGGCGCGTCCGCCTCCCAGGGCCAGGGAGAGGCACGCTTCCAGGGGGTGGGGCGGT